GTAATTCCTGAGCATTATGAAAAGGTTATAGAAAGATCCTAACAGAGCTCACTTGAAAATCCTGTATTGAGAAAAGCTAAATGTAGATAGGATATAGAGAACTAGCCATTACTCAGATGATGATGGATGGTACCAGAGGAAATATTATCAAATTCATATAGACCATATGAACTTGCCTCTGATGCAAGCAAAGGTTAAAAAATGAAAAGCCAAAAAAAAACCAAAAAAAACCCCGCTGCTTTCCCGTATTTTCGACATATACTGTTCCCCTCCTTCTCCTTATCTACAGACCTTTTTATTATTGTAATTGTTTGACAACTGATTTATTTATCCTTCGCCGTCTCCTACATGTTATGCCCAGCTTTTTTCTCCATTTGTTTACAGTATTTTGACATTACAAACTTCGTTATCTGTTCCTGATGATGCTGGTTTGCAACTAATTTACCTAACCCTTACTTTTATTTCCGCAGCCTCTGTGATTATCAATAATTTGTTTAACAGGGATGTATATTCCAGTATGATATTTAACAGAATACATTATTTATTTGTATTTTATTACTGTTGGCTGATGAACATTCTGTATTTAGAAATTTGCCCTTGAAATTACCTGAAAACACTTACTTTTAAGCATATGTTCCCATTATGTATCTCTTAGAGATCTAGTAAGTTTCACATTCAGAGAGATAAATCCTAAACAATATTGCACATATTTTTCAGTGTGATGACATAACGTTGTGCTACGAAGCAATATATTACAGTTAACTTCATTTAAAATTTCTGTCTACTTTGCACTTTAAAAGCATTTCTCTTCTTCAGAAACTATACAGAACTCAAGTCTGTCAAAACCTCTATCAGGTAGTTATTACTCTATTAATAATAAAAATATGCCAACTGATCCACAGAGAAAGTAAGTCACCACGCTGCTACCCAATGACAGAAAAACAAACCACTGTTGGCAAAAACACAGGAGTAAGAAGTAAGCAATTGCCCATGTTCCATTCAATATACTGTATAATTTCTTTTTACTTAAAAGACTTGTGTGTACTACTATAGGAACCAGAATTCAGAATAGAGGGACTTCTACAGAAAGTAAACATTGGCTAACAAGTAAAAGTAGAGAATATTGTATGTAATAGTTATTTTGCAAGAATATTTCCCCGAATGTAAAACTCATGTACTACAACTCATCAATGGAAATACACATGAATGAAAATGAAAAACAGTGACTGAATTACACATATGATGGAACAGCAAAAATTATGGAGAAAACTATGGAGCAAATAAAGGAAACAACAATATTTTTATCTTAATATATCTCTTTAGAAAGGTTAGAAAACAGTATTTTTTACTACTGATTGCTTCTCATGTTGGAATTTTATTTTTCATTCAAATCTTAGATATTTTTGTTCAAAACTTTTATTTTGAAAAACTTTTTTTTTTTTTTAATAACAAACTAATTTCTGTCTTTGTAATTGCAGTCTGACTTTCTCCTAATGCTTGTGTTCAGCAGTGATTATAGTAAGAAACGTTTGTCTGAGCAGAACTAAGCTTGGAAAGCCAGTTTGTTTTCTAAGGCCATCTGATTCTGGTGTAGCAGGACATAATAGTAAACCTCCTACTGAGAGTTCTGATGAACTGATATGTGATTAATAGCAGAACAGGTGCTTAGCACTATTCTTCTTGCCTACAGAACACATTACAGTGCTTACAAATCTAAAGTTCTGGACAAAGTTTATTACCTTACTGTTTTTTTTTTTTCCCCTCCTCCAAGTAGGTGGTAATCATGTCAAAGTAATTATCCTACCTGTCATTTTGTATAGATCTACTGGTAAACATCTTGCAATAGAAACAGTAGTGAGTACTGGTGCTAATTCAATGGGTAAGACTTCATTCCTTCATACTTCCTGCTTTGAGTTCTATGAGACCTTAAGTCTCATTACTGGAACACATTCCCAGGAAAAGATTAAATATTAATAATTTCTTAAAGTCCCAGAGAATTTATCTCTAGTAAATTTAACCAGTGATAATTGCATTCTGCTTATAAACTCCTTTTGAGCTGTCAATGTGGCTCACCTAAGAGAAGTATGTTTTTTCTTTATTGTGCAAAATGATTTCTAAATTGTTTATGAGACCTTTGGGGACCTTACATGCTAAAAAGCAAAATAATATGTAAAATCATGATTTTACATATCCTCCTCCCTACTTGCCCTGGGAGGGGAAGGAGGAGGCAAGGAGGGTTAGTAAGTAGTTAGCATGAATACTTTTTATGCATACATTCCAGCTGCTTCAACACTTACAATTCTTTAGGAAGGCTCTCCTTATTTGTAAAGTAGTGCAATCCTCAAAACATATATATTCATATGTTGATTTTAACTCCCCATCTAATGTTTAATTGTCATATAGAAGCATGTTATTCCATAGATGTAATGCATGAGGCCACGCATAAACCTATATAGAAATTCTACAGACCAGATTTCATATATCTATCTATCCTGGAGAAAGAATCAGAAGTATACACAGATACTATTTTAAGAGTTGAAACAACATCTTTCAACAAAATTTAGCTGCTTTTATTTTGTATATGCATTTAATTTTATCTGGAAACTTTCTGACGTTAGAAATAGAACAACTGTAGTTTCTCATTATGTTTGCTGCCAAAATCTATGCTTGGTTGCTCAACTAAAGACCTTATATTGCTAATTACTACCACATGCCCATAATCCAAGCAAAGGAAAACTTATTGGTTCTGACAGCCCATTCTCTCAACACTGAATTCCAAATGAAAAGCTAAATTTTGGCCAAACATAACATTTCATCAATCTTGTTCTACTGACTGCAAAAGCAACATCAAACGAGGGGTGCTAATGGCTTTTTACTGTGCAGTTCCCAAGCTTAGTTTCTCTGATGAAAGATCCACATGAGCAAAGGATTTCTTTAAAGCACTTAGTAATTAATATTTGAACAAGAAAACAATGCACAAAGTAAACTGAACAGTCCTTGTGCTGATGACAGAGCTGAGTTTTAACCAACAAGTTATATGGGCAGCAAAGATCAGCAGAGAAATGCATTGAAGACAGTGAACAAAAACAAACAGATAGTGCGTATAAATAAAGCCAAAAAAATAAAGTGAGAAAATAAAATGAAGCACGCCCCAAAGCTAGCAGGAAGCCTGTGGTCTGGGTTGAGGCTTTCAGGATGTGGAGTTCTGACTGAAGATCAGGTCCAAGTTTAGAGACATCTGAGCAATGCTGGGTACTAGTGACAAAATGGAAGGGAACAGACTAAGACTCTGTATGTAAAATGTTTTTTGTAAGGCACCTCTAACTCGCATAGAACCTCAAAAACAGAAGTTAACATTAGTTCTGTGTCTAAAATATTTCTGTCTTTGAGAAAGCCAGTATGAATGTAAGTATGAAGTTGAGCCTGACTCTATTGGAAATAAGGAAGTTACTACTCTCTCCTAGAAATATATTAGAATGAATGTATTTTTTAATCCAGGCAAGTCAATTATGATATAAGCTTTCATCACTAGTCCTTTCAACAAGAAAAATAACTTCAGATATTTAAGAATACATTGAAAATACAAGTATTGAAGGAGTCATAATTGAGTATTATTGAATAGCCAATCCTGTAAGATAGAACTAAAGCAAATCTTTGATTTATCTACCTGCTGATGTAAATCAGTACTCTAGAATTAGCTCTGTGGGGCATTTAACCATTTCTACCCCACCAAGAGGAGAAACAATTGCTAAAATCATATCAATCTCTATAAAATGATAACGGCACGGGTGATGGTTTGAAAAGAACAAAATGAAAAACATATTTCTGAGAAAGGACTATTAATTAGATATGTTGACTGGAGTCTCCTTCTCTATGGAAAGGATTTTAAATGACTCATCTATTATGGCCAATAGCTCTCTTTGCAAATGGCATAGTGACATGTAGTGAAGGAAAGGGCAGGGACACTAATGTATCTCTAAGTATGTTTAGTTCATTGAAGGCAATATCACAGTACATCTACACGCTGGAAATGCCAGGAAGAACTGGTTTTAACTTGGTCAAGAAAGCCATCAGGCTTTCTTAATAAATAAAATGAGCTAATATGAACTAAATGGACTAATGAAATCCAACTGTTACTACTGGATAAAAAGAAAAAATTTTACGGCCATTTAAAGCACTACATCGATATTAAAACTACAGTTTGCTGTTTTTAGGCTAGACTGTTCAGAGTTTGTGGGATAATCACTTCAAAATTTGTTCTTAGATCCTAAAAATTGAGTGTTTTAAAAACTGAAGTCAACAGGACCTACATAGTATCTGGATATGCTCTTCGGACAACTAGAAATCAGTATCACTCTTCTGATGTAGTCAACTTAAGGGAATAATATATTCCTCATAAAACTCATTTCGTACTCTAGTAAACTCAGTTTTGTAAAGACCTGAGTTATTTCAAAGTCATATGAATTATCACTGCAACTTAGCTGAGAGATGACCGCATGATAAATGTAAGCCCAAAGCTGTGAAGTGATACGAAAACCTTGATCTACAAGTTACCTGCATGTGAAACTGCAGTATTATTTACTTGTTGTGTAAATTTAGTGCTGATGGTATTCAGATTGTCTTGAAGAAGGGATAAAATGTTGTGACTCGTACCATAGCATGGCCCAGGTCTCTAACCATAGTGTGACAACTCTTCAGTGGTAATATCTGATGCCACAGTATGCAGCGCTTAAAGATGTGAGTCAGCTATTACCACCTTCATGGGCTCTTTAACGTCACACAACCACACCTGGTCTTTTTCGACTTACTTTCTGCCTCGGGTTGAGTTAAAAGTCCCGCCGTATTTCTTCCGATTAAGGATGAGAGCAGCAATTTCTGGCACGTAGCGAGCAAACATTGCCTACATGCATGAAACAAAAACACAAAAAAAAAAAAAAGAAAATGGCATGCAGAGAGTGTTCTACTGCAGCAGAGGCAGCAGAGCCTCTTGGGATACTTACTTTCTTCCACTAACCGCACTATAGGAACCACCATATTTCTTGCGGTTTCCTATTAACTCTATGATTTCAGGGACGTAGCTGGCAAACATGGCCTAAGAAGAAGATAGGAGACAGAAGAAAAGACTAAAAAGACAGGCCAAAGAAAGGGGGATGATGAATATTTTCAGAAGATATATATCTTTAAGATCTGAAAATGCAAAAGAATTTGATCTATGAAGGTATTTAAAAAGAAAATTTAAAAAATGCAAAAGTAAGGTCTTATAAAACAAAACAAGAGGGTTCAATGTAAAAGTTGGTCTTGGAGAAGATGCACACCTAGTAAAATAAGGAAATGGTCAAAATAGGAAAAATAGGCACACAAAACAAAACAAGAGCAAAATTAATTCAATCTTATTGTAAAATAAAGTTGTGTCTAATTCTTCCTGCAGAGGAAAGGGAAAAAAAGAACTATCCAACTTCACAGCAAAAAAATGAAAACAAGTATTATTACTATTGTTACATTTCCATTTTAAAAGACAGACTTTTTTCCCCCATGGTTAAGATCCAAAGAAGACAAAAACAAGATGGAATCAAGGGTTTTCCCCCTGCCATCAAGAAAGAAAATGGTGTCACACTCTCCCCGCCATTCCTCCCTCCCCCCAAAAAAAGAGGAAAAAAAAACTTTTTCAAAAGTTTGTTTTTTAAAGTTTTGGAATAACACATGATAGATAAAGGATAATAAGGAGAATTTTTTTTTTCTGCCATGTTTTGTCCAACAAACATCTTCCTTGTGGCTGGATGCTTTGAAGAGCTACTGCCAAGTTGACATGGTCTCTGCATTCAAATGTCAACCACCATGACAAGAATAAATATGTATTTACAATCATATATATATGTACTCATTTTTTAATATATATATATGTTGTATGCGTGTATGTTACAGATAGCATTGAAAATACCTATTATATACGTATCACCTTCGTAAGGTGTATGTATTTAAGAAATCAATATATGGGTGGAATATAGCAGTACATACGTGTCTGTATATAACACCACATTGTGAATGCTCTGTAAAGCACTTAACCTTGCTCAGCGTAAATATTAAAATAAACTCTATTGTTTTAAAAACCAATATGGGTAGAGGTGCTGTAACATTACTAGCACTGATAAGCAACAGGAAACTCGACAGAAGACAATTAGTAAGGTCAGCGTTGTGTGCACGGAGGACAAAACACTTGTCTGACATACAAGGATATTTGTTGACATACAAGGATGCTGGTCATGGCCACACTTTACATGTTTAACTGTGAGTTAAAGTTGTGTTACATGACATGAAAAGATGTTTGAAGTTAAAGTTAATATAGTTGTCATCATCTGGATTAGACAGGCTGCTCTTTAAGGCAGTCCAAAACCACAGTGTTTGTTGGAATTTGGGAAGGAACACAAAAGGGTGGGTAAGACTCTTGAAACCGCAAACTGCCTTGAAATATCAGCAATATCTTCAAAAATGCACTACAATTACTGTCACTTAAAAATAAATAGCTAGGACTAACATTCTAAGTGAAAACGCTAAGACAGTTCATGTATTCACATGCACTACTTAAAGGGATTAGAAAAATTCTAATTGAAGTAAATCACAAGTCCAGCAAAATATCTATCTATACAAAAAGCATGGAGTGCACTAATTCAAATTTACTAAGCCTAATGTTATTACTGATTTAATTACAGCTATGATTCTATATAGGGTGAAGCAATAAGGTAAAAAGGCATATAATGATGATAAAGAGCTTTTACCAATCCCCCAAGGATGAAGAAGACCATGAAAAGGCGACCAAGGGTTGTTTTTGCATAAACATCTCCATAACCAACAGTGGACATAGTAACCATTAGTAAATAAACACATTCCCAATATGTAAGCGGTTGGTTATTTTGGAAATTTTCCCATGGATCCCCTGAGTTCTCCACCTACAATGTACAAGAAAACACAGAAAGAATTAATAAAGCAGAACCATAAATTAATTGTACTGATGTTATTTGTTTAACCTATCCAGCATACTCTATATCCTTTCCTGTGTTTTTATCTGAAGCAATATGGGACCTAATTCTGCCCTAATTATAGCCTTACAGTTATCACAACTCATAATTTTCAAATGCAAACTACTTGCATTCACTACTGGAAAACAAAACTCACAAAAGAAGCCAGATAGGTTCCACTTATTCCAACTTCTTCCACTCGTTTTCAGAGTGAATCTTACTTCTAACGAAATTTTACTGTTTTATGTTTTCCTTTTAAAATATTATGCGGTTATTAATGAGATTACTGACATGTTAAAAAGTTGGCTACTATATGTGTAAATTATAAATTTATCTCTGGGAAAGGAGCATACCCTCATATCATAGGGTTAATCTTACAATAAAAACGCTGAAGTTTCAGCAGTCTTAAAATAGAAAAGAAGATCTTACATCCAAAAACTACATATACTCTAGGAAAGAGCATTAGCTCCCTCCAGTGAAATTAAAAACAAAACAAAAAACTTGTTTAAGGCCAAAATCTAGAAAAAAATTATCATAATAAATAAATAATTGTATTGTTCCCACAATAAAAATCCTATAGTGGTAATTATTGTGAAGAATAGCACACAGCAATACATGCAAACTCTGAATTTAATCTCATGTATCTGAACGTAGTTAAGGGCAATTCAAGTGAAGTTAATTAAATTATATTGGATTAATACTAATACCATTGAAAATGTAATATTACTCAAAAGGCACCGCTGAAGAGCTTGTTACCACTAACATTCTGGTATTTTCCCGATTTTATGTTCATCATAAAACATACTTAAAGGATGAATGCTTAAGTAGATTAATTATATTAAAATTTAACCATATTTAATGAACATATTTAATTTGACTGAATTTATTTTAAGACATCTTATGCATTGCTTAAAATTTTTGCTTTCTGCTTCAGGCAATACTTCAATGGATGTGTCAGCTCTCCAGTATGCCAGGGAAAATAGTCTAGAAATTTCATGGAATATGCCTCAAGAGACTGAAAAGCTTGTAGAAATGGTGCACTCAATTCAGTAAAGAGAGCAAGGTCCTACTAAACTGGGTAACTGATTTTGTGTTGTTGTTTAAACAAGAGAGGGGAAAAAGAGGTAATACTAAATATAGCCTGGCCCCAACCATCAGTTTATACCACAGCTACTGTGTTAGTGTCCTGTACCAGGACGATCAGTCCTTTCAGCTCACAGGGTTGTCTTTACTATATAGTTTGCCAGTAAACTGGCAAAAATAAATATGTATTTATTTATTGGTAAAGAATTTTCATTTTCTCTATTAAAATCTACCTGTAGGTTACTCAAAACACAATTTACCGTAATGCAATCAGTTACTATTATGTAAAACCCATTAATTTACAATGTCCAAAATACACATATCATATATTGACATATACACGTATCATTACATACCTGTCTGTATATACATATATGTCTATAAATATATTTATACATGTGTGTGTATTATTTCAAAATTATGTGTTCTTAACTAAATATCCTAAGTTTGCCGGGTGTTCAAATACACAGTTTTCACGTTTGTGTAAAACGTGCAAAACAGACCCATGTTATCAGTGCCTGAAAGGCATATGAAAAGTTTTGAAATTTAAAAAAAGAAATAAGAAATAATCTCTGAGAATACTACTCTGAATGTAATAATCTCATCATTTTTAGTGGAAATACAAAACTGCTTTTTCTGGCAAATCTACCCATTTGCCGGGCCATCATGAACATTTCATGCTCTGAGAACTCCTTCCAAGTTGGGCTTGGACAGTTATTGAGGAAACATTGCCACCTACTGGGAATCTGCAATCACTGAAGAAGTTGCTTGAGTTAAGTCTGAAATAGATTTTACTACTGCCAAACATAAATACAGAGGTTAATAATGTGGATATTACTATTCAGAATTAGCTTTAAGTAGAAGAGATGTGTTAAGGGATTATCTGCAGCAAGGTAATTTAAGGTAAAAAAGTAGGTTGGAGAGCAGATGATCCATGAAAAAAAAAAAAAAAAGGAAAAGAAATATTTTCAAATATACTCACCAAATGTATGAACCCAGCTGCTGTCAGCCATGTGCTGATAAATATAGAGCACAGATTCACTAGCTTGATGGAATTACTGTAAGGAGGGGAGAAAAAAAAAAAAAAGAGAGAGAAAGGAGGAACATATACCAGATTGTTTTCAGGACATCTTCATAATATGCATCTACACAACTGAAAGAGCAAGATGGCAATTTCTGAATAAGACTTGGGTATATAAGAAAGCATATCTACAGCCTATACAAAATCTGCATAATTTTGTCTTAACCCAGTTTGCGTATGCCTCATTTAGATACCTTGAAAGAATTACCACACGGAGTTAAAGAGCAGCAATCTAAGAAATCCATTCATTGGAGAGCTGGAAAACAGACGACACAAATGGAAACCTAATCTACATTTAGGTGCTCATAATCAAATAAGTGAAACACTGCTACTCCTTATTCAAAAATCATTTGGTTTCCTCTGAGTTCCTTTCACCCTGAGTTCATCAAGAAAATGCCATGCATAACAGACCGCAGAAAAGGTGCTAGTAAAGCTTGCTCAGTGTGTCCTACAAAAATCAGTAAAAATGGAAAAACTAACAAGGATGTTCAACAAATCACAAGAAAATGAAGTCTATGTATTACTGATGTCTTAGTGATCTCACCAACTCCTGGGAACTATATCAAAATTTGATCTGGCTTTCTTTGGAGAGCACATTTCTAAGAAAGCACAATACTTTCGAAAATTTACCATTATTCCTAAAGCAACATGCTCAAAAAGAGAAGACTGAGGTACAATTTTCATGAAAATTAGTTAAGCAAGATACTTTCCTCAAGAAATATCACATCAAAACTTCAATAGCCAAGGGAGTGATATCCCCATGGGTGAAATCCAAGCTTGCCTCCTGCAAGACGGCATCCATGCTGGTAGATCCTAAGGATCAACGGATGCTACTCTGTGCTGCACACCATGGCACTACCCCTGCACTGCTATTGCCCTCCAAATCAGGTCAGTTCCAACCTTAGAATTTGAATTAACTAACATAACCCTGCCCATCTGCACTATAAGCCCCCACACTTTGCCAGGCAAGCATACCCAGAGGGACTCTGCATAAAGTATCCTGCAAGACGTATGCACAAAATGAGCACAGTAATTACAACTGCATTCACGCACAAATTAGTTATCTGCACTGAAGTACTCAGAATAAATATACATGATATAGATGTATGTGCGTGTAACATACTTATACACAAAATATATAAATGTAAATACATAAATATAAATTGCTCCAGGAACACAAGTTATTTTCAAGCAAGTTTAGTGGATCAAATCCCTAAGGCAATAGGAAGAGCAGTGATATTCAAGTTAATTTTTTTTTCCACTGGTCCTATATAAACCTCTGAATTTACTCACAAAGCAAATAATTTAATTGTGACAAGATCTGAAGACTAGAAATATAATCTGGTAAAATACACCCTCATGTATGAACTTCAAAACCAGCTAGAGGCCCACTTTTAGCCAGACACGGAGAATTAACTTACATGCTTAATTAGAAGCAAGCATTGGTTTATTTCATACTATATTTTTCAAAAATATTTAGACAAGATAGTATATCCTTGTAAAGCCATAACCTAAGCAATATGATTATGGAACAACTGAAAGTGAAATAAAAATTCATAATAAGTCAATAATAGCAGTTTTACAGCAATACAACTAATATTCTCTTCATAAATACTTTTAGAACAATGAAAGTGCATAAATTTATAAAAATTTAGAAATGACCTTAGAAAGTCAATCAGACATCAGTTTCATTGAAAAAAAACAAAGAGCTACAGTTAATGAAATGGGCTTCTACAGGAACTAGGAAAAGATAATGCATAATATTTGTCTGTAATAATTACGATACTCATTATTAAGATGTTAAATCAGACATTTTGCAGTTAATGTTGATGCACATTAAGAAATATTCCCTACCTCTCTCTTTCTAAAGTTATTGTTGATTAACGTTTGCTGGTGTTGTCAGCCGTAGCCCTTAGATTAAACAAAACTGTAGCATCCAGGCTAATGCAAAGCTCCATTACGAAAGGCTGACTATTGTCCTTCAATTTGGGACAGCAGAAACTCCTGATACTACTGTGTCTTTTGGTCATCTACTACTATAAGAAAATGACAACAGTCATTAACAATTGAGTATTTACATGTCTTATTAGGTGCATTTCATTTTTTATGGAGGTTTATTAAAAATTGTACCTTATCTGTCCTCTATGAAACACTCTTGTATTTCTGCCAGGGTCTAAATATAGATGAAGGATTAGTCAGAAACATTTTCCTGCTCTTTAAGCTTTTTCCAACATCTGTGTAAAATCCCTTACTGTGAGCCCTAAGCCCCTGCAGTTTTATTGAAATGTATTTCTGAAAACAGAAAAGGGGAGAAATTATAACCAAACATTGCACAATGTATTCTATTTCTTATAATACACGAAAAAATATTTTGAGTAACTTGTACTTATTTTCAAATTTGGGAAACAAATAGATTGTTGGTATAAGCTTATAGCAGGGTGCTGTAGAACCCTGCTTTGCCTTAAAGTTTCTTTATAAATACCGTTAATAATTTTACAGACATTCTAAAAATGATCTAACACATGATCCACATTATTGTAGAAAGGGCTAGAAACCAGAAGATACTAGTCTCTCTGTCTCTATTTGTATTTTTCTGCTTCTTCCTTTGGTTTCTATTGCCTTGAATGGCCTTTCTGTCCACCCTATGAATGGGATTTCTTCCTCTAATCCTTATATCTCAGTCACTACTTCCAGCAGTAATTTAAATTTAGAAGTCAGGGTAAATCCTTTATTTTGAGGGGGGTTGGTGGGGAGGACAGAATTTCTTCTTTTACCACAGTGCCAAATATGAAAAAAGACACATCAGTGTTCTTCATATCTTATCAATTTCTCCTCTTTTCACTAGATACTGACAATTAACTGTACTGTGCCTGTAGCGAAATTTGTTCCATATTTCTTTTTGTATGAATACCTACAACTTTAAACAGATTATTTTTGGCATATTTTTTGAATAAAACAACACTAACGATTTCTATTTATTAATAGAATTATTTCATTATTTCTATTTCAGTATTAAGTAATTCATTTCAGAGCTAGTAATGAAATACTGAATTTCAGTTCAGCAATTCAGGTTCTGTCTATAATCCTTTGCTTCATATTTTCAAATTTACTATAAAATTCCTTAAAACTTTAAAAGTGTATTGCTAAACTTTCTTAACTCTAGAAATTTTTAACCATCCCCCAGCAAAACCACAGCTATTACTTTTAAGTGACTGCTTGAAAATATAAAACACAAAATAGTTATTTAAGCTAAACAGTGGTCAACAGCAGGGTTTTGAAAAATGGCCAGAATTGAGGAAAGTGGATTTTACTTAAACTGATTTTTTCCTTCTTTTCTAACTCTCGTAGAACTGCTAAAGACTGTCCTTTAACCACAACTGCTCAGCACCTTGCTTTGATGTTTTCTCAGAAATATTAATAATGAAGTACAAACTCTCAGTAAAATATTACTTTGCTACCACCACACAGAACATCCATGCTAAACAACTCTCAGTAAAATATTACTTTGCTACTGTAACAGCAAACTGGTACCCACCACACAGAACATCCATGCTAAATAGGTTTTGTTGATGACAGTACTTAAAATGCTGAACATATGAACATATCTCACTAGTTGTGCCATTTTTTAGAAGTTAAATTCACAAAAGACAATCAATTAAAATAAGGATGTTCTTATATTGTATTTTGGCCCATGCATTTTAGGAAATAAGAATTTGTGCACATTAACAGTACTCCAAACTATTTACTCCATTTCAAGTGTATTAAGATACACAAGAGAGCAGATGTGTCTGCCTGTTGCTGGACTAGAAACAAGGAGACACATGCAAAATCATTTTGAGTCACTGATTGCTTGTAAATTAAATAAATAGTGCAGTGACAAACTGCTAGAGGGTCAACCAGCTCAGTAAAACTGACAAGCAGGCATGGAAGGAAGCTCTGCTTTAAAAGCTTTTTAGTAATCAGAATTTAAGATTTATGGATGCTAAGATATTCACATAAATTACGGTATCTAATCTGGGAATAAATTTTGACACTATATAAATGTTATTTGAAAAAACAAATCCACCTTGAATGTGACAGCTTTGAATAATATGAATGTTGTTAATGCAGTATCTCTTCATTTATGAATCTGGATAATCACACTGTTGAAGGTTTTTTAACATTTATCCAAAATTCTCTGAGTTTGTGGGAATCTTCCACTGACTACTAGGACATATAGTGAGGTGGGTTTCTTTTGTTGTAGTACAAATTTATGAGATACTATGAGCATCTGTGAAATTATTCTCCTTCCTTATTGAACTAATAGCATTCTAAGTCCTTGGGCTGTATCTTTCCTACATGTTCATAATGTGATTTATTTTGTTGACAAAAACTGCCCATTCTGTCACAAATAAGAGTTTCACGGCAAGGAGAAAAGTTTAAGATTAAGGGTTGAAGGAAATAGCTGTATACTACAAGTCTATATACATTTCAAAAATCTATTTGCTCTTCACTCCCAATTAATGCAGCAAATAGAGATACTAGCATATAAAGCCTTCATGCATATATCTTCATCTGGGGAAGAGCAGATATGTAGAGGGAGAGAGCGAAATATTTTAGAAATGAGTTCACAGTAATTGAAAAATAAATACCAGAAACTGGGTTTCATGCTTCAGCTATGGCATTTTAGTAAATGACAGGAGACAAAACCTCTGCAACCAGGAGGCAAAGGTTTTTGTTATTGTTGTTTTCTTAAGTTGTTCAAAGTGATATACTTGTGAGAACTGTAGCATCTCCAAAAACACCATGTGGACTCAGTGAAAGGAAGTAACAGAGTATTCTAGATACCAGGGGAATGCTAATGACGATGAACGCAATACAAAGACAAGTGAGTGTAAAATTAGTTTTTAATGTGTTTTCCATGTGTGAAGGATGTTCTGTTCAAATGGACTGAAACAGAGCCACTATGATTATTTCTTAAAATGCTTTTTTGCTCTAATCTGCTGAGTGAATTGTAATTTCTGTTTTTTTCCCCCAAAGTAAGCATATTGACTGGTAATGCAGAAAGAAAGAATATTTAATCCTCCTGTAATTCATACCGCTCAGTCTCACTCTGATATGTCAGGTATAAAAATCTATCAAGTCAAATATCTACTCATTGAATGAATGCCTAAATAAATCTTTCATTAGCTGAAAAAGGTTTTAAGATAACAAATGTTTTTTTGAGAAAAGTAAAAAATATATTAATATATTTACTTGAGAAAAGTAAAAAATAAATATATAAAATATATATATTGATATATATATAATTAATAACACCAAAGATGTAAATGATTCATGTTCTATCACTGCTGCAGCTACTCAGAACATAAGGAAACAGCACGCAAAACTTACCTTGTTTTAAGAATATTCAGAAACTGTAAAATTTCTGAAAACTGTATCAGTCTAAGGGCTCTTAAAAATCTTAAACCTGCATAAAAAACAAACAAACAAAAATTTAGCTCTAGTACAGAATAATCCAGATTATAGAACGTTCAATTCACAAGGACAGCAATAAATGAAATCAAAATACAAAATGTCGAATACCTTTGCAGCATTCTTCCATATTTAATGGTTCGAAGATCCTCACTGGGTCTTTTTCAAATTATTTCTTTAATAGCTAGTACCCTACCAGAAAGCCTTAAACTATGTAGGAAGCAATGGGACAAGATAAATGAATAGAAAGCTAAGGGCAGAAAGCCCTACCGAGGTTCACTTGGTAGTGCTAGTACACGTGTCCTCTTCCAGACTGTCAAAAGTGCCTGCAGATGTGAAACTTCTCATTTCTCCAAGATCATACTTTGCTTAGTAAAAAAAGACAGATTATGGTCAGAAGACCTGATAGCCTGGCTAAACTAGACTGTGGATATGCCTGATTAAATTGGTAAATCTTAATGACGTAGAAAGTCTTTTATTATAATAATACTCACTGTCCCCACCCTAATTTCCAAAACCTGAGGCAGGAGAACTGAAGAAGCACACATGCTGTCTTAAAAATTACAAATCTAATATACTTCTTTCCATCAAGCTAAAACTATAGCTCCAGATTATACACCGGTCGCTAAAGATGTAAAGACTTCTATAAAGATTTTATATTTATACCAGGTTGCCTGAATAGCAGTTCACAGACAACAGCAAAGCCAGACAGTCATACAGAAGGAGAGGAAACAGATAGTGCGTACGCAAGAGAAAATACCTTAAAAGATTAAGGGCTTAAATTATTAAGAGATACTTACGCTGATATTAAATAATTTTGCTGCAGATCTTCAGCATATGAATAAAGGTGCACTGTGTACTATATCTACATGCAGCTTATAAAATTAAATGAAAGGCTTTGGGGATAATTTTTAGTAGACAGTAGGGCCAAATTACTTAAAATTGCATAACTTAGTACGGTAACTACTAGGGCTTAGGTCCAGGGCAGCTGTACCTCATATGTTCTCTTTCTTCCTGTTTATTTTACTCACTTTTAGTTCTACAAAATTTTTTATTTCTAGAGATTTAAGTAAAGACTCATCCTGACAAAACCTATACTTGTGCACAACTCAGTGGAGTCCAGAGGTTCTCTTCATAAGCAGAGATTCTGTTACGTGGCAAGATGCTTATTAAAGCCATGCATCATTTCCACAATACTCTAGGAAATCTCTTAAATAATATTTTTATTCCTGTTAAGGCTCATAAGCAGCCTTAAGGTAGAAAAATACTCCTGCTTGTATACTAAAGGGATATAAAGTTTATTTTTAATTAATGACTCACTGGGGAATTCTGAGGATTAATCACTTAAAAAGTAGATGTGGTACCTAGGAGACAAAGCAAGAAATTGATGTTTAATTCTAAACTTCACACCCATTAGCAAATAAAGGATGGACATTTAGGATCATAGTTTTCAAACTGTGGGAAACCTCTCTCTGCTCCACTTGCAGTGGTTCCCACAATTCGTACTTACTCCCTTTCAAACGGGAGGCCCTAGGGTAGAGATGGAGCAGAAGTCTACCAGCAACGCTGACTTTTCTCAGCTAGGAACCAGGAACTTTTTCAGAAATTATTAGTACAAAGAAATATCTTACTTCAAAGAAATTGCATAGCATTTGAGGAGAATTACTCGTTGCAATTATTTAAAAAAAAAATGGGGAAAAACACATTTTAAAATGAAACCTCTATTACCAAACACTAATAATGCTTAAGGTATACTTCAGGTTCTGAGACACCAAATGACATACCAAGGAGAGGGTGGTTTTAATGTATTCTTTGCTTAAGAAGAAAATCATTACAGACTGAATTCTGCATTTGCTACTGCCAACACTACTTGAAAAAATTTTCTACGGAGACTAACATTCAGAAAAGGTATGCAGGCAGCCAGGGTTCTTGATCTACAAATAGAACTGCCATGTATAGAATCGCCTTCTAACCTCTATATCTTGTCTGGAAGATCATTTATGCAACAATGATTTACAAGTAAAGCAATTCTTACACAGAAAAGGTCAAATTTTGATCTTCAGAAACCTGAGTGTATTATCCACTCAGTATGGTTCAAATATGAAGAATAAAAATGAGATGAAAATTACAGTTATCTGTATCCTGATGGCATATGAACCCCTTTCAGTATTCCGCCATTTTCAAGACCTGAACAATTTTGCTATTAGGTTTCTTTACCGGTGCTCTTTTATATGATTTTCTGTCTTGCAAATATTCTGAGAGCTCCAGTATACTAGCAACAATAGAGAATTTCACAGGAAATTTCACCCTGTGAAAAGACACTAAGAAAGGGCAGATCCTCTAGATGAGATAGCAAAAACTTCACAGATAATTACTATGATTCTATCTGATGCTATTCCTTCACAATTTATAGATACTAGAGAAAATGTCATAGAAAACATTTTTTATGTTTTATTAGCTTTTGGAGAAAAACTGGACATGCTAAAATATTTTTTTTAATATTACAAAAAGTCATTTTGTATTGTTCAAAAGTTCTCTATTTAGCAGGTATGTTTATGAGACAGAGTTAAAATCACTTCACTTTTGAAGCCTGTAAAAATGATCAATTTCAAGTATTTTCAATATCCATAGAAATTACATTATTTTCAAACCAGGTAGAGGCACTACACCAAACTCAACTAATCAGCAGAACCAACTCTGCAGGAAAGCACTTTTGTTGGCCCTGCCGGTCCCTGCTCCTGCCCAAGCGCTGAGCAAGGACTGTAATCTGCCTCGGCGGGAAGGAGCGTCGGCATGCTGGATTTAGCAATGAAACTACCGGCTCCCTTCGGAGTTTTGTCATTCCCTTCAGTACAACATCTAGCTGTCTGAGGGCTTCTAAATCCTTTTGGCACTGACTGATGGTACTGTCAGAGAGCAGAAGAAACTGGCTCCGGAGGAAACAAGCTGAGTCGGGGAATAGCATTCTCAGCACGGGCCATGGTTAGGAAATGCAGATAGTTTGCAAACAAGCTGAAAGGTTGGCAGCTCAGCGGGGAGGAAGCCTGCTTCAGGCAGAAAAATCAACAATATTCATAACAAAGAGGTACTCCAGAACACTGTAACAGAGAACTGTGAAAACTGATCTGAACAAAAAGGATAAGAGAGCTGCATCATGCAAATGAGAGCTGTAGATGGTAGGTTGCAAGAACCCTGTCTGCATATACTCATACTACCTTGCTCCCAAGGGTGAAGCAGGCAAATGCTTATTTTTTTGTCTCTTAGTGAAAGCCACTACTGCTGAGATCACTGCAGTGTTCCCTCCCCATCCAACACAGTGAAGACTCACTCAGCCAAAAAAAGCTCTACATATTAAAGTGAGGAAAATAACACTGCACAGTGTGCCAGTGTGCACATCCTCCCTAGTAGTTTATGTGGTTTGAAGACCTTCTGCAGCCTTTAGGCCAACCACGAATCTGACCTGAACTAAAACAAAGAAGAAAGGAGAATTCCCCTTATTGAACAGCTATGTTTCAAAGCCGACAGTGTCTTTGTAAGCAGGTGTTCTGCACTCTGAGTCCTGTGCCATAAACCATGTGCATTTTGAGAGAGTGCAGTTAACTCAGAGATTTTGGTCTTCCTCTTCAAATAGATTACAAAAAGCATCTGCTGGGAAAAAAAAAATTGTAAGCATAAAACCCAGTTGAATTGACTTTGCCCTTAAATATATGATTACCAGTGTCATCTTGTACTTCACAAGGGGTTGAGAAATGAACTCAGTATTTCCCAGAGGAAAAGCCCAAAGAGCACTTCATTCTGGTGCTAGTATTAATGACATGCCAAAGTGCACTCACAATCATATATGCATCTGTAAACTGATGACACAGTAATCTCCACACTAGGACGCCTGTGGCACTGAAACTGCTCTCGAAAAAAATGGGCTAAATTACTCAGTGGGTATTTGTGCTTCAGTGTGATTTTCTTTTTAAATGTTCGATTTCTATAAATCCACAGAAAATCAAAATCTTTTCTTTTTAACTTGCTTTCATTTCTGATGAATCTAACTTTGGAGAAGTAATTGAAAAAAGGTCCACAAAGAGAGGCTCAGATCTGAAAATTAACGGCATGCAAACAGTAACAGAATCATCTATGACTATTTATTTTTTTGTTCTCAAATTACTGACTCATTTATAACTAAGACACTCTTGTCTCACCAACTCATCAAGAACAAAATTCTGTAATGGGAACCTATTAAAAGTTTCACTATTTTTTTTCCCAATGCTCTGTCAGCTCTGTATCTACTGATAGGAATGTGTGCAGCCTTCTTTCCTGGGAGTGCATTTTATTCATGTAGGGAATAATTCTTTCTTTTAATATGAAATTAATGTAAAAAAAATTGTAGTTAAATAATATAATTAATAGTTGACGTTGGGTCAATTTCATGTGTACTTCAATAAAGTCCATTCTAATTTTGACATTTAACTGGGTCCTGTCTTCTAAATCAATTAAGGGAAATGCTGAATGTACACCACTCACCTTTTTCTTAGCAACACATGTTATTTTGGAATTTTCTTATGGGATCTTACTTGAAAATAAACTATAATTCTCTATATTACAATATATATATATAAAACTAAATATAAAGTTTTAATACAGGCAGAAAAGCTCTCTGATCAGAAAAAAATATATATGAAATCAAGGGCCTGATATGGCTGATCTACTCAAAGTGTTTTTATCAAAACTCTTACTCTGCTGCATGTGTATTAACATAGTAATCTGAAAAAAGGAGTGAAAAAATAAATATTTATGCTTCTCACTACTGCCAGAGAAATAAAAGACTTCTGCTCCTTTGTTTTATGACAATGATACTCTACTAAAATATAGTAGGCTTGTGCAAAAATACTGTGTTTAATGAAACCAATTTAGTTTTTTTTTTTTTTGCCAAACCATACATGCAGTTAACTCTGACACATACAAGCTGATTTCGTTCTTCTTACAAATCCTGTAGCTTAATTT